GCAGCCACAATTCTCCGCTCATGCAGTACAAAACTAATGCTGGGTAGAGTGAAAGGATTTTCTCCTCCTTATGGGTCTGTTTGTATCAGAATGATGATGTCTTTTTTCAATGCTGCATTGCATTCTATTTGGCTTACGATTCACTAACCCTTCAGCTTAAGAACTGTTCCTTTCCTAGCTATTTTGCATCCTATAACATGAAGTCAAAGATGTGCTACCTTGTTGTTATTTTATTTTGTAATATTTTCTACAATTCAGCAATCTTGCTTTAGATTTTAGACCTGTTCTTCAATGTACTTGTGGACCTTCCTGGCCTTCAGCTTACTATGGCCTTCCTTTGGGCATTACTGAATCATTAAATGCAACCTGAGCCAAGACAGATCCCTGCTGAAGCCCATTTGATACCTTCTTCTGTTTTGCTAAAGGACCACTGAGAACAGGCCAGAAGCAGCTATCCAAATAATTTCACAGTCCTCCACAGAATTTTCATCAAACCCAGGTTTTCTAATGCTTTTATAATAATACTGTCAGGCACTGTCACAAATCTTGTCAGCATCAAAATCTGACATATACCATTTCTTCCATAGCCAACAAGGACTGCAGATACCTTGATGCAGAAGAAAACTAAATTAGCTAGACACAGTTTGCTCTTGACAATCTCTTACTCATTTCCTCATTATATGCTGGGAGTTTTACAAAGTTTTTCATTATTCCTGTGTTTGTGGGCATGGAAGTCATCTCCTTCAAACTTCAGCCTTTCTCAGCTTCTTCTCAGTGTTTAACTCACAGGCAAAAGAGCATATGATGATCTGAGACTTCCAAATGCACCCTTTTGCAAAGTGTCTGAAAATGCTCAAAGATTCTGCCTCATAAGTTTGGAGAAAAAGGCAGGTCTCTGTGTATGTAAAAAAGCAGTTCTGCCATCTCTGAAATAAATGCCTATCAAGTTCCTTCCTACAGCTATGGCCCACGCATGGCTCCGGGTGCTTTACCCGGTATGAGCTGTAACCAAGGCCCACCCAAAACTTCAATGTTTACTTGGTTTCTTTCTGTGTTAGAGTCTCTCTTGTTTAATAATACAGTCCAGGGGGCAGCTTTTCGCACAGGCCTGGTTCCTCTACTTGACCACGTCTTTTACATAGTGTTTATAAAATTATCTCTGAGACACCTGTCTCTGTCCAATTTGGTGAAAATAAGCCAGAAGCTCTGAAGTTATCAGAGAGAGGTAGTGGCACAGTCAGGCTAGCCTTGTTTCCATACAAAACCATGTCAATAACCTCCAGGTAGAGCAGGCTGGGTGACAGAACAGTAGCTGGTTTTGACACCTTGCCAACTACAGACATTAATTCTAAGTGAGTAACATTCTTAAATTATAGCTACACTTTCACATAATGGGTTATTTCAAGCCCTATCGCATCAGCTTATGCAGGTCTGCAAATGTCATACAGAAGGTCTTTGTGGTGAACTATGGTAAGAAGCTAGTAGGAGGGGAGGTGAAGGTGGAAGCCTAATATATACCATTATTTCTCTAATTTGGGAGCGCTCATTTGGGGCAATGAATGTTGAAGATTCATGCTGTATTCTCCCAGACATACTCACTCTGACCCGGGTCACCGAATCCGCGGAAATACAGGCCATTCATTTTCAGTCATTTCTTGCTGTTTGTTCCTCCCTCCTCATTCATGTGCTTGCCATTTCCAAGTACTTGCTCTACTTAGATTGCAACACATCAGTTTATTTGTTCAGCAGTGTGATTTCCATCTCACTTATCAATGGTCTCATAACCGAATGCAGTCTCCCTCTTCTCCTAGATTCTTCAAACTGCTGTTGCCTGTGTCAGGGGGAAGTCACCCTCCCTATTAGCTGTCCTGCTCCAGGGCGTTATAATGGCAGCTGCGTTCCTCTCCACAAACACGATATATGAAAACGCAAACAGTATTTATTCTAAATGCAGTTTAATATTGCAAAGTATTATACACTTTCCACAAATACTCAGTACACAGACTTCAATTGAGATGGAGAAAAAACCCTTGCACACTATTTATTTAATTCTTACTGACTGTGAGTTGGGTGTTTGCCGTCACCGAGAGCTGAACGTCCTTTCTTAAATACACATAAAGCAGGATGGATATACACAAAGGAAGGATGGATAGATGTCACACAGCCATATACAAAATCTATATTATGCCCAACACACACTATTGCCTTCCACTCGTTAAGCTAAAATAATAACTGAACCGAAGGACTGGGGAACCAGTCACCTCCTGCCAACATGAGGGGAAAGCATGCTGGGATTTTAAAACCTGATGTGTGCATAGACATCATTTACACTCCAGTATAATATGCCCACTTGTGCACTTGTCCATCCATCTGTAGGATCAGGGCAGTGCACAAACACCCCTGTATGCCAATCATATGCTTCACTGGATGATGGATTGCAGACCTAGTCCAAAGTACAGTCTTCAAAGCCGAGAATTCTGGAAAAAACTTTGGGCTTTTCTAAGAAAAAAAAAAAGTGTCTTTTTTTCTGAAGGGATTAGTTAAGATTAATTTAACATAAAGTGCAATAGCTACATCTAAAAATGGTGTACTGCTGTTACAGTGGAATACTCCAGTTCTACAGTGGAGCTCTACATATCAGATAGTGATGTTCGTTCACAGAATCTGCTCTTAAAAGTACAGAGGTTAGAGGTTAGTTAATTAAAAAACACAAGATGCTTCTCAGCCTGTACACGCGTTCATTCACTGCTACAACAGCTGAATACAGTACTGCCACTTTTAAATTATAAAAATCACATTTTTTGCGAGTAGTCAGACTCTGCACAGCAGAAGAGAGCAGTTGACAGCAGGTTAATTAGAGTCCTTGAAGTCAGAGAGTTTGCTTTCAAGCTAAATATGAAGTAGGAAGGCTCTGGTCATTTTCAGCTCTTGATATATCAGCAGTTACTAAGTTCCCAGTCAATACTGAAAATAACTTACCTTAACTGTTCAGTAAATAATGTTGACAAAATCTACTCAAAGTAGGGCTGTGTCAGGCGATAGCAACCTTAGCTGGGTTCCAGCCAGCAACCCTATCTCCATAAAGATCTAATCATAAGAATTCAATACCTGAGAAATGTTTGAAACTGAGCATTCCATAATCAAGAAGAGAGGAAGAGAAAGGAAAAAGGGGTTGTGTTTCAGAGAGTAACAAACATTATGGCCTGAATTGTCAGGAGTCCCATATAACAAAAGACATGAATGTGTGTCCAAAAAAAACATGCTTCTATCACAGAGATCTTCGGCAGTGGTGTAAATCTTCATTGCTCCACGGAAGGGAACAGTTCTGGCTGCTTTTTTGATCTGACAGTCACTTTGTAAAACGCAAAGATTTCAAGAAGCCAGCAGCCTACTAACCTGCTTCAAATTTCCCCAAAAGACAGTCACATCTTCCACTAACAACTTTGCTTTAAATATAACAGCATAGGTTTTAATTCTTGTTTTCTGAGCGTAAATATGAATAGAAAAGTTATCTGAAAGGTTTCACAATGCTTGAAAGCTAATTCACCCCCAAACCCTTGTTAAAAATCATCTTCCTAAAGATGGTATTCTATCGAGTACATTTTCATGTTGAGGCTTTCACATGACGCTTACTGGCAAAGAACAAAGGAAATGGTATTTCCTGGTCTTAGGTTCAAATAGGAAACATCACTTATTACTAAAACTGCACATCCAAACCCTTCCCACTTACAGTTCTGATAGCAGGCAGAATGCCAACAGACATTGCTTTCTCTTAGGCTGCAGCTATTAGCAAACAGAGTTGCTAACATTTACACAACACACCTGCACTTTGCATTATTCTGCAAACAGATCTAGCATAAACAGCTTGCAAGAACTATGGCTACGCCTGGATCTTAACCCCAAAGTATTTCTTTAAAACAAGTGGGATCTAGATATCCCTTATCTTTACAAAGCAGGCTGAAAACACATGAAAAATCTGTATCTACTATTCCTTTTTAAGAGTGCAAAACTGAATGCCACATTTCACTGCTTGCTGTAATCTAAGTCTTCATCCTGGTTGTTAAGGGATTATCTAACTTTTTTCTAAATATAACTACCTGAGCACTAAACTATCGTTCTTGTGTCTTTTCAAAGCACTGATGAGAAATTAACGCTCTCCAAGTAGACATATAGCTAGGCACCTAGGAGATTTTATAGCTTAACTACACTGTCAGTCCAGGCTGACCTTAGCTCTCACTGAAGTTAATGTATTTGCTTCTGTGGGAGCTTCAAGGCCAAAATCAAGCTCAAATGTGCCTGCAGAGGTAGAGAGGGCCTTCTGTAACATTTTCGTAAGAGGGAAATATCCAGCAGAGAGGTGTCTACAAATCAGTGGAAATAGAGAAACCTGAATTCCTATTTAGGTTTAAGATCTGATTCTTCCATCAGCTATTCCTGCATTTACACTACCTAACTGCACTGAATCCAGTTATCCAGTAAATTACAATCACATTGCAGAGGTCTCCTGCTGTACTTGGGGAAACAACCAGAGGCTCTACGAGTCAATCTGAAGCACAGCTGGCCTCCCTGTGCTAAACAAAAGACCATGGGCTGGGAGGAACATGTGCTTAGAGCACACTCTTGTGGCGAGCTCTATATAACAGCGGGGAAGGACACCAAGATGGAATATAGGCATCTCTGACCAGCTTCTTCTACAAAGAAGGCCTGAAGTCAAAAGTTACAAAAGACATGAATCAAGCTCCACAGGTGACCTAATGTAGAAAACATTCTTCCTTTACTCTAATGCTTGGAAAGAGCTTTTAACAAGAGAAATGCTACATTGAAAACAGAGTGCAAAATAGAGCCAACCAGAGTAGACAGAGTTCTCACTTCAGTGTTCAAGCCTCCACCTCCCTGCTTCCTCTCTCCTCTCCCCAGAAGGAGAGGAAAGAACACACCTGCCACCTATTACTACGACTTGTGGGAGCGCTGCATATCCTAGGAAGAAGATAAAATACAACCTTATTCATTTTTCATTAATGAAGTACTCTCTGTGCTGGAATGTAGGTTGAAAGTCCATCCCATTCCATGTCTGACTTCATGTGATCTTCACAGGCGATTTCTTGTGCGCGCAGAGAAGGGTAACATAGGGAACGCCAATGAATGCCCATCTCTCACTGGGCCAGAACTTTATGACAGGGCCCTGCTCAGGGATCTCAGAGGCAGCGTCGAAGTAAGCAAAACAGACGCAGCCTAGGTAAGCTGCAAGGCAAATCAAGATGTGCCTGAGGAGAACAGAAACCCCCCCGCCCCGCAAGAGGAAAAATTCAGTAACATGATTTCAGGAAATCACCATGCGCTAAAATCAATCTGTCCTTCACCTTCTTTCCCTGAGTCTCCTGTAGGGTTACCATTTGTCCTCTCCCTTCTGCACGGGCAAAGAATATAGAGGATAAGGCAAAGTATAATACTGTTTAGTTTATCCTTGGTCTAAACTCACTGCAGTTTTTGGTCTCTCTGCACCTGACAGAGTTGTGTAGAAAGGCTGAGATATGCCACTTGGAGTAAGCGAGCACAACTTGCTGGGTGGTAAAAGAGAAAAGGTACTAAGCTCTTCACTGCCCCCCCTCCCGCCCCTCCCGCAATCCTCATCTGTTAACACTGGAAGTTTAAGCTTGCAAAGCCACTGTTGCAGCTGAGCAGTCCTTCAGGGCTTTTAGTAACCAGTAGGACTAGGAATTCAGTTGCAATTAATCAGCTAATATCTGAAGCATCTGATTAGGCGAAGGAATTTCCTAAACCTACCACCTTAGACGGGGTGAGACTTGATCCTGGCTTACAATCTTACCAGTAAAGCTATTTAGCACTAACCAGAAATAGCCATCTGAAGCTTATCTGCAAAGCCCAGAAAGGTACTGTGGTGAAGACCTGTCACATCTGAACCAAGCAGTGGAATTTATACAGAACACTTACCATACACAGTGCAAATAGGGGAAGTTAAATGAGGACCAGATTTCACAAAATACTTTGTCACTGATCCAGCAGAAAAGTGCTAGCATCCACCAAAGACCTGAAAAGAGACCCAGTTTGTATACACGCAGGTTTTCACACCTGAGGAGAAAAACACAAGGAAGTTGCTGTAAAATAAAACAAAGCCTGCTTTGTAACGGTGCAGTTTGGCTATATGTATTTTAAGAACAGGATTCAGAATGCCAGGCACACATCTTTAAAATGGATCCACCATAAATGTCCTGAAGACGGGAACTTTATTCACAGTAAATAAGGCACCGACCCAAGGCAGTGCTGAGGTCACAAAAGAGACCTTTTACTTGGCAGCTCAGTCTTGGGTATTGTCTTAAATACCTCCGTGTAGACATTAGATAAACACCCACATAGTCCTCTACTGAGAGGAAATATAGGAGAACTCAGTGAGTAATTACACATACTGCCTGGTAATGAACAGCCACTCAGCAAGCGATCAGAGTTTTTCATATTCCCTCTTGCATGAGGTTCTCATTACATAAAGATCAGTAAAAAAGGAACTGGCTGAGGTTGTCTTTATTTTGTTGGTTATTTCCCTCCCTGTAAGCTACTAATGTACGACACAGCTGTTCCAGAGAACTACTTAGGTGGGAGCTTTTACCCAAAAGGCCTAGGCAAGCATGCTTGAGTAGATGGTGCAGCTTTCTAAATCTCAGACAGAATTGCTCACTTAGCAGTTTTCTCCCTCCACAAGAAATCAGACCTGTTTACCTAGAGGTACTCCAGAGAGAAAAAGAACACAAACATTCGCTGTGCTCATATGCAGGGTGGCCTGCAGCTGATCATCAGTGAATGCAACAGCAGATGCCAAGGTACTTGCATAGCATTATCTGTGGCTGCAGGTCTGCTAAAACACTCACATATTTCACTCGTCCATGTGATGCTTTACTCTTCTTCACATCTTGGAACTATTAAAAAAAAGGCATCAATATATTCAAGTCTTACGATGCTATGTAAGTCAATAGTTTGCTGCCTACCTACGCTTGCTATTTTGGGGGTAGGCCTCTCGGTGCCAGTAGATGCTGTTCTGCTGTTACTGGTATCTATAAAGCAATGCTAGCCTAGGATGTGACTAGCTCTGTATGGCCAGGGAGAAAGTACAGCTCAGCTTTCCTATCTTCTGCAAGAACAGAAACCATGATTTGGGATTTGTCTCCTAAGGTCATGAATTTCCCAGGGGCCTGATCCTTATAGCGCTATAGACAATTCCTACTTCAATGAGCTGCCTTTCTCAAGTCAGTACAATAAGCACTCCCAAACTTAATCAGAGAACAGGGTTGATTTGTCTAAAGTGACTTGTCTGAGCTACATCTCAAGAGCAAACAATGAGTCAATTCTTCAGCTAGTACAATAAGAAATACTCAGCTTCATCAGGCTCATAGCCAGCCTTCTATTTCTAGCAGGAAAATAAGTCAACCCCAAGCGCCCCACAAGCCCTTCCTTTGTCCAAAGGTCCTCAGTAGCGGCCCATCTACTCCATACTGATCTTTTATGTCTTAGACCAGAAAGTTCTTGAGACTGTCTCTGTGCCTATTCCCCTCCAGCAGATCAATAGCCAGCCTTCCCCTCTGCCCTGTAGACCCCAATCCAGTCACTTCTGTAGACTTGACTCTGAATCACTAGCCTTCCTACTAACTCTTGCCCTCTTTTACTCGATCTAGGAGGGGCACAAAACCTTGAACAGAGACCCATTGAAGGGACACCTAACCTTGTGAAACTCAGATGCAATTAAAATGTGTAAGAATAGAAAAGCACTTCTTTACTATATGCACTGCAGCAGCATTTACAGTCCCTGATCATCTTTATACATGACTGTCCATGACATACTGAACTTTGGTATTTCACTCTTGCACACAAAAGAGTTATCAGCCTGAAATCTGTCATTCTAGTTTAATGCATATCACAGCATTTTTATTTTTCCATCGTTGGCTGTTAATTGTCTCCATGGCCACACACAACATACAAGCCACTGCCTACTCCACATTCACTATTAGCTAAGTAGTAACACTGACTTTGTCTCAAGCGAAAATTTGTCACTACACCTTTCCTCACCGACCAGACAACACCTGACCACTCTGCAGCAAGCCATGAAGACAAAGATTAGGAGCACAGAATGCCTCCTGCCCCTCTGTGGTGGAAAAGCAGAATTGCAACTGGTCCCAGAGCTTTACTAAAAGAGCCCAGCTCACCTTCCGGAAAAACTAAAAACATGTACAAAATAATTCTGTCCAGGAATACTTTTCTGAAGATGTTGCAGTACCACCAGCAACAGCATACCTGACTCTAGTGCACTGCAAGTTCAAGAATCTCTACAGTTTTCCCTGCAAACCTGTAGGATATTTTTTCAGTCTTGAAATGCTATTTCAGTTGACATTTTAACAGACATTTGGGATTAAGAAACTCCTAAGGCTCAGCAGGAGGCTCCTTTATAGCTACTGGATTAATGACCAAAAAAGCTACCCAATGCATAATCTTGTTGATGGGGGATTTTCTGCAGTGTCCTTCACATAAGTTGGTTTTAGGGCTCGGCATTTCTTTTTTAAGCCAACTATAAATAATCTGACATTCAAAATCATCATCACTTCTATCATCATTTATTCAGAGAAGAGCTTCACGTACCAACTAAATTGCTTGTTGTAATATTCTCCACAAGAAAGATATCAGAACAGTCGTCCTCCTAAAAAAGACTCACATGACTGCCACAGAACATATTCCGCAGAGCATATAAACCAAAGTGGCTTTTCTTAAGCCTGAATTTCCCAACCCATGCAACAAACAACCAGCACAGCCAGAAGAGGCAGGGCAGGTTCAAGATGGCTTCAAGACTGTCTATACTGCCTACTGTAAAAAGGCCTTCTCCTGCTCCCACCTCCTCCCCCGAAATAGTGCCTTCACATTTAAAAGGCTATAAAGAGCATGAAGAAAAGGATAAGGAGATTTTTAAGTTGTCTATGAAGTCCCAGCGCAGAGCTACAAGAATTCTTGCTTATGCTCTCTTGAGAGTGTACCCTAGTACACTTACTGCAGTAAAAAATATATCCAAAATTTGGCACAGTTTTACCAGTCAAACCGTATTGGTAAATCCTCCTCATGTAGGTCACACTTCTCCAAATAGCTGTAGGCACTGTGGATCCTTTCTTAAAAGAGTGAAAAACATTACTGGTCCAAAACCACTGCTCTGTTAAGCATACAGGGCTTAATTCTCTCCCTTTAATGCTGAGAATGATTTCCACTCCTGAAAGGACTTGCGGTTAGCAGTTTAAAAGAGTAAGAAGACAAACACAGAAAACTCAGTGGGTCTCTGCATGGCTCAATTTTGGGCACTAAACAGGTAAAACTAGACTGCTATGGTAGGTACTCGTGCACTGGGACAGAGCAAAGATTTTGTGTATTCAGAATATGGAGCCTTTCTGGAGCTATCTGAAAGAAGTAAATAGATACATGCAATTGCATCCCATCTAAGATAAGAAGCTTGCCCGCAAACATCCAGCTCCTTTAGTCAGTGACCACGCCGGTCAACATCTGAATAGTTTGAACGCCGAAAGACGACGACAATTACACCACACGGTTCAAAGAGTTTAAGGCTGCAGAAGAAAACTTAAAGCTTATTAAAAGAAAGTTCCCCACCACAAGATCAGTCACAAAAATGGTACAGGCAGTACTGACAGGCTTACTCAGCACCACCAGTGGGAACTGCAACTCATTTTTATAAACCACAAACTAGATGCTGCAGGGTATATTGCAAAACAGTACTCAGAGGTAGAAAGAGTCAAGCACAAAGAGGAGAGCAGAGCCTGCTGAGCCGGGCAATACTCCTCTGTTTTCTGTGATCAACCAAAACAGAGTATTGTGCTCCTGAAGTGGCAGGTGCTTTGGATGGGGAGGCATGCTTGTTAAGGAGACAGTTCTACCTGCTGTGGATTTCACCACAGTTGAGGAGATTCATTCCAAACACTAGCTGTATCCTGGCAAAAAACACAAACCCATCTGTCTTCCTTTACTTCTGAACAAACACGGACACTGAGCATTCAGAATACCACTGTAAAGGAACCCGTCAGCTCAGACTTTAAAAACACTGTTTATTGTGCTTTGCTGATTATTTGTAATATGCTTCTATCCCCAATTTAGTCTGGAAAAAGCTGGACCCTATGAAGCTTCTGTTTGAATCTTTTGCTTGCACAATGCATTGTGCTCTGGGATTTAACACAAACAGCAGTCATTTGCTGGTGTTAGGGGACTGGTGTCCCTTAGTCATTTGCTGTATAAGGGACTAAATCGCTACACACTTCCAACGGCATTATCTTCCAGCATCACAACATCTCCAACCACACATACAAGCTTTTCTTCAAATCAGTGAAAGTTGCTGGGTGCTGGTTAACAGCCTGATCCTGCCTCTGACTATTCATTTTGACATAATTATCTCCCTTTATACCCTAAAGAATTTGTTTAGCTTGTAACTAGTTTAAGCTTCTGGGGAAGGGAATAAGAGAATTGTGAGCAACCTGTAACAATGAAGTAGGGCTCCCCCACAGCCAGGTTTCCAGTAGGAGAGCCAAACGTGAATGGACAGACTTGAAGCTAGGGTAAACTTTCACTGCTTATCAGGGCTCAGACGTCATCTGAGTATCAGCATCCTACCATCTTAGATTTGACACAGTTACCTGGCTGATGATGGCTCACTAAAAAATTCCAATTTGATGTTACAATTTCAATGGTTATTTAGCACGCACCAGCAAACAACAGGACTCACATCTACTTTCTCCCTGACATCACCTCTTTTAAGAGCTTAAAAAATTTATGAGGCATGTGAAGGGATTTTTTTTGGACACAAATAAGAATAAAGTATTATAATATCCTTGTCTTTCAGGGCTAAGTTTGTTTCTAACTACTTTTTGTTCTTTTGACAGTCTCTGACTCCCAGTACTTCTTACCATACAGCCTCCCCAACTAGCTCCACATTAAGAACATAATACTCTTTGTGACAAAATTCACTCCTCAACAAGGATGAACACGAGGCAGAAAATCTTCCTTTGAAAACATAGTGGGGCTGATTCACTAAAATTCTAACTAAGATTTACAGCAGCCTATAGCTAGAAGAAGCAACTGGTCTGAAGGCTTTACTCCTCCCTTCCTCAAATATCTATTTCACAGGTAAAGATCCACTGCAGACTGCCAGGACTCTGATGTGCAGCCCCCTATTGACTGCAGTAGCGAAGAATGGGAGAATCCCACTCATTCTGAATAATGTTCAGACTATTTTTCCTAATGCAAAAAGAAATGAAATGACCGCTCTGGGTTTGAAAGAATGCATCTCATCCTCCAGGGAACCTTTAATTATTTGCTTTTTACCTTTAGGAATTATCAAAAAATGCAAGGTATTACATGCCCCTGACTGAGAGGACTGTATGTCATTCAAGGTTCTTTTTTAATCATAAGTTCTTAAGAAGGTTTGTCTGCACCCTTAATTCTCCAAAAGCAGATAGTTACTCCACACATTTTAATAAAATACGGCCTTTTGTAAAACATATCCTTTAAAAAGCAAGTACCTCTACGCGTATCAATGCCTAGATTTCATGCAATAGCACCCAAACTCATGACACACTGATCATTCATCCTCTCAAGTGTGGCTCACACTGAAGTATAGAGAGCTCACACGAATTGTTCAATGCTACAGCCAGCCCTCCGCTTGCCCTGTTAGTGGTTCCCTGGTGTTTTCATCAAAATAAGACAACTCTACTAGTATCCTTCATTTTCAACCTCTTTCTCATCTCCACAACTGACAAGCGTGCTGTTTCCCCTGTTTGATTCACCACGAAAATGGTTGCTGCTCAGTGGGGCATCTCATGACAAAAGATTCCAGGGCTTCTTTACAAAACATTATTAGCAGAGGTTTCTACTGCATGGGGAAAGCAATGTCAGTAGAGGATAAGGTAGGAAATAGGAGACTCTCTCTGTTGTAGCAGAAGTAGTCTTTGGTCCTGGTCTTGTCTCTTTTTACGGACATATGCAATCTGTGAGCGCCAACATAAGGTGTGAAATCCTTCTCAGGACTGGGGCAGGAAAGGGCAAGTTCATATCTTTGCTGCTACTTGTCAGGTCCTTTCTGCAGAAGGAGTAGAGGGGGAGTAAAAAACAGTGTCTGGATAGCTACCGGTACCACTATCATGGTAAGACTGTTTAAAAAGTTGAGACAAATCTCAGGCTCTTCTCTTATTTGCAGTCTGGTTACACAGCCCCTAGGGCCCCAACTGGCAGCTGTCCTCTACAACCTGGTGATTAACCTTCTCTTTACCAGCCTGACTCCATCATATTATCATTATCCCCAGAAGACAAAGTGGTGTAAGACTTGCAATAAATTTTGAGAGCTAGCACATTTTCCATGCACGCTTTTGCCTTGCCCCTATGTTCCCTCTAGCACCCAGACTGATGTAGACCCTTACGCGGACCACACAGTAGGAAAGCAAACTTGTGACTACAATGAAAACCTTGCCATGATTCCACAATAAATGAACAAATTTGAGTCACACCAGGTCGCAGCAAGAGAAATGTTGCAAGAGGACGGACAATATCTGGCCTGGCACAATTGCCTAGGGAAAATAAAACCTTGACAGAAGCGTTTGAACTGGCAGAGCAAGTTTATACCGGATCAGTGCTCTGCATGATATGGCAGAAGCATTTCCCATCTACTGTCATAAGCACTGAAGCCAGATCTACTCTATTATCATATAATTACTTAAGGATCTCAGAAGGCAATGCCGCATTCAGGGAAAAACTGAACTCACCTCTTTAACTCAGCAATGAGCAAAGCTGTGCAGGGAACACCTAAAGTCATTAGCGAGATGTTGTTGATAGCAGGCTTGATGAAGGCAAGGCAGGTAGTAACTCCAGAAAGCACACCTACAGCAGCTTTAAAACGGCTCCTGAATTTTTGGGGGGAAAGAAAAATTGCTTTTAATTCAAAGCTTTTAATTAGCAGAAAAAAGAAATCATAAAATGATTTTAATAATGTAACAAAGTGTACGTTTAGGTCCAAAGAAAATGTGCACAGAGTGGATGTGGATCCTGTGCTGACTCGCATACGCATGCAGTTAATCAAATACATAAATCCTCGCAGGCCTGCAGTCTTCTGAAGCAACTATGTGTATGTATACATACGCACACATACTAATCGCTGGTTTCAAATCCCAAGGCCCCACTCCAATGTTCCTCTTGCCGCAATAAATCAAGAACAAATCCATCTCAGTACATGGCACTGTACTTCCCCCCCGAGAGCAGTGCTGTGCCATCATTCTTCACGCTTTTAACATCAGTTTTGGGGACATTTTTTGTTATCCCTAACACCTTCTACGGTCACGTTACAGTCTGTATTTTGTTTCCCTTTAGCTCTCCTAAGCCTTAAAGATGAGTGAAAACCAGAAGAAAACGTTCTTATTTATCTTGTAATCGAGTCCCTTTTTTTTTGAATATTATAGATTGATATATTCTTAGCGCAAACGAAGTCACAATTGGGGTCTATACAGGACAACTTCTGAGCTGAATTCGTGTTAAATATTGTTTGAACGTCCAGTTACATAGCTTCGTACTTTAAACATCCTGTTTCCGGTCTGTGGCAGGACTTGGGAGGTGACAAAACAACCTTCGGTCATAAAGTGCTTCTTACATATTTGAAAAAATAATCCAATGCAAGAGTGTGCTATAGAAACGTACATATAGGGCTGGGTTCTGCTGAACTTCTAGGGAAAGCAGCTAGAGCCAAGGCCCAGGAACGCAAATACTCCCTTAAGACACCTTTGTGCTCCCTTCCTCCCCACTTTCTGGGCCGGGACCAAAAAGACTCCTGGTAGAGGTCAGAATAGCTGCTGAGGACACTGCAAACTTGCGCTCTGATAGGCAAGCTCTGGCAAATCTAGCAGTGTTGGCCTAAATCACCGCTTCTCCCCAGCTGCCTGACTCCCCTTGCTGTCAGAAGCTGCTGCTCTAGCGCAGGAAGGGCAGAACACGTTAAAGCACTTGTACCTCAGCGTCTCATTTTGTACCACAGCCGAAACTACCACCATGAGGAGCTTGCCCTAAGGTGACAGGCTGACCTATGGCAGCAGAGGCACAGTCAACATGTTACATTCAGCAGTAACCCGTGCTAGAGGAGGGAAAAACATTCAAGCTGGGTAACATCGTAAGTTGCCACAGATCAACCCCTGCTTCTACCCCTAGGTGTGCCTTCCCAACCTAGACTACGTTCTGGTTATAAAGGTGTCAGACCTGGACCAAAAAAGGGGATCACCATGCTCCCCTTGAACTACGAGCCCACAACTTTATAAAAACAGCTACCGCGTAAGGATGGGTCTTCTCTCTTTAATTCTCTGTCTGACGTAGGGGCCATTCCCTGGCTCCAAAAATTATCGTTCTCATCTTCACCGAAAGTTCATTAAATCTGCCTTTTGCATTAAAGCTTCTTTTCCTACTGGAAGGCAGGTCTCCAGCATTAAGTTACTCAAGGAGAACGTTCTGGATCTAATGCAAATGCCTTAATTACCTTACAGAGACCACAAATATGGAATGGTGGATAAGAGCATTTTCAGTACTCCAAATCTTTAGTGTGATGCAGGTAAAGAACGTGAAGAACGTGCAAAATGTAAGAATCACAGCAGTGAGCACAGGACAGATACGATTATGGAGGAGTAGCTAGGCAAAGCAAAAAAACAAAAATGTAAACAAACTCGTTCTGGGTTAGGCACCCTCCCAATCAAATTCTTTCCTCTATGTGTTTCAGAAAGGAATCAAGGCCTTTAAATATAACTGCCTTGACAGATACTAGGGAAAAGAGTGTTCTTAGAAATTTAGCACGGGGGACATCCTTCACCTCTTCTCATTCTTTTTATGGATCAGTTATATCCTGGGAGATTATTATTGACAGGTTTAAGACGAAGTTCAACAGAAATAGGATTTTACCCCAAAAGTCTTACTATTCCTTTTAATACGGAAAGGGGTTAACCTCTTGGCAATATTTTGAACATACGCTGAGAACTATCACAAGGATAGTGATAGATTATATAAAACAACTCCTCTGGGTTTAGAGGAATAATTAATAAGCAATTACAGAAATTCTTCAAGAGACTAAACTGTTTTTCAGTTGAACTAAATGTCTGAAAGTCTTATTATCCACCAAAAAATCCTACTAAAATCTCTTTTTGTTGGTTGATAGTGTCCTGTAATAGCACTGTGTTGCAAAGCACAAAAGTACAAAATTCACACCATAAAGCCACGAGGCTACATAGACTGTACACATGAGGCTACATAGACTGTACACAGTAACGCATGACACACTTTTCTTGGGACAAGCAATTTTGAGAAGTGGGCAATCTAGGCACCAGCCCCCCCAGCTCCCCGAGTAATTTCTAATCAGGAACACAAGTCGGAAAAAAAAACACAGATAATAACAATATGGGAAGGGAGGAGGCAGCAATTTGCAGAGAGCTGAATCTTCGTGTTGCCATTCAAACCTCTCCATTACCTCAACTTCAGGCTATACTGTGTAAAATGAGCAGCACGAACACAGTCGTGGCCACAAGTTATACAGGGGAGACAAATCACCACCAGATTCTTTGAACTGGTTCCACTGCTTACTCTTTTAACTCCACATGAAACAAAAAAATCCTTTTACAACAACAATTGGCTTCTAAATAATCACCGCACTTAGCCTTTGAATACGTAAAAACGACACTTAACCAAAGCCTTCAATATTGAAGTGAAAATTAAACTGACTTCCATAGGCCTATTCCTCTGTACACTGCAGGATATACAAATGGAGGTGGGGAACAGGGTTTCTATTACCTAATTTTAGCCATGGCTTCTGTAAACTACGCATTTAAAGGTCTCTTTAGAATCCAAACAAAAACGAGCACTCCGGAGGCAAGTCCCCTCATCCCAAGAGCTGAAGTTACAGGACATGAATCCCATCATCAGGATTTCTAAATCCTAATGGGTTAAGGCATAAACAATAGGAGGAGAACGGAGTGAGAAAAAGATAGTGGCAGGAGCAGTAAGGCTGGATGGATCATTCACTTTCACTACATGCCCTTTTAGATGTTAGGGTAACACGCTTTAACGTGAGACAGGAAAGTGTATTACATTCTATGCATTACCTATCATTTCGAAAAACTCTCGGTAGATATCTCCTAGGGAACCACATGGCAAGAGCACACATCAGAACCCAGAGAATAGCCAGCTCATCCAGCATCTGACCCAGGAAACTGAGGGTGGCATGAAAGTAAACAGATCCAATTCCTGGAAGAGTCAATCAAAAGCAACATGAGTAGTTAAAATATTGTATAGACTGAAACACGCTGCTCATGATCTGGACCCGATAGCAGATGGTGAATACCACTTGGTCTGGTAAAGTTAAAAAAAAGAATAGGAAAAAAGTAACTCTGCCCATCCTAAGAGGGCAATCCAAATCATCAGCACGTTAGATTAACTACAAAACACGTTAAAGATGCATCTCCCACTAGCAAAGTAGATGTATGTGAAAAAACATCAGGTAGTGAAATTAAATGCAAAAACAAAACATAAAACCCAAATGCTTCTTCTGAAGTTTCCCACTAGCACAGGAACAGGTAACTCAAAGAAAGCAAACAGCATGTGATGACTACGCCATGATATATGTTTATAGGTGGAAAGTGAGACCCTGCTCACAGGGCTTCAAACAGCCCTTCAAAAGTTCCCAGCATCTCTGGGCATTAACATGCTTAAGACCCTTCCATCTATAAAATGGATAAACATGGGGCTCCATCACCAAAAAGCCTCAGTACAATGCAAATACTGTTATCCTCTTCATTTGTGTTGAGCACTCTCAACTCTTACTAAAGAAACAGCATCAGAGGAAGGAGGGTCAGCACCGCTCTAGAGTAAGCCCAGATAAACAAAAGTTGTTATGCAAAGGAAGGATGGGAAGGGAACAAAATTAAGCCCAGACTTTCCAGCAGTCTGAAGTGCCTAAAGGCGTTTTCCTGTCAGAAAGTAGAAGTGCTTCAGCTTCAAGCAAGTACAAGCAGACTCTTCGGTAGACGTCAGGGCTGCTTTGTTTTGCAGAAACAATCGAGCGCAAGCAGGAAAAACTAACTTCCTCTCTCTTTCAGTTCACGTATGAGCAGACAAACAGGGAAAAAAATCAACTTACCAACCACAACTAGGAGAGTCCATATTAAATATATTCCACTGTTGAAGCAGGTTGCATATTGACGGAATAAGCACATACATATGGGTGGCAAAACAAAAAACAAGATGTTGCTTATCTAAGAAAAAATAAAATATAACATATTAATCAAATATAATGTAGCAATCAAATACAGACAGAAAGTAAAAAAGACCTTTAATATTTATAGGCTGTCGAAAACATCTACAAAAGCGTTTTTCATCCAGTGATGCCCTAGCTCATCCAAGTATGGCCTCAGTTTCTGTCAAAGCTGAGTTGTTTTTACAAAGCATTAGCATGTTAGGTTTAATAACATCAAAATAATAACAGTGCAAGAACAGGGAGCAGTGTTAAATGTGGCTTGTCACATCTTTACATTATTTTTCAAATCTATTCGCAAAGGAACTCTACTGTGAGTAAACAAATACTCAGACTACTGCAGTTCAGGAAGCATGCAGCAACAAACAGGTTAGGAACAGGGAGTCCTAGCATGTGAACTCTCTTCTCCAAGACTGTCTAGCCTAGCATGGAAAAAGTACTGAAAGTAATGGCACCAGAGCGGGCCAGTCAAGCTTTGTCGAAGTCAAGTCACTAAACAATAGCTAGTATATTGGCAGATCTAAAATACTAGCTAAGTAAAAAGGTTACCCTTTACCCTTTCTTTGCAGGGTAAAGAAACCTGACGTTGTAAATCCTTCTACACTTTATCTTTTTCCGCTGGTTCACCGTTACAGAAATAACTGGAGAATCGGGGACAAAAAACAAAAAAGCTATATGACTGAAAACTAGTTACAGGCGTATGAAAAGGCTGCTAATTCAGACCATTCCTAACTTCCTTGTATTTAATGTGTAAAAGCTGAACAAAGACTTATTTCCTCTTGCTTATCAACAATCCAAAAGCCTAGTTCTCTCTTCAAGCTCTGAAAAAGCTTCATCAGCAATTAGCATTACCTGCCACTGTACAGAATATCTGGTCCTTTCAGGAATGAACTATCAAAGCTAAGAGCCAGCCACGGCTCTAGTTCAACCGGGCAGTTAGGGAATTTTTTTCAGTAGAACAAGGGGAAAGGGTGAGTTCCTCAGTCTTGCTTTCCTCACATTCCCCACGCCCGGCCCAAGTACAGGAGAAAATCGGCCCTAACAATGCTCCCCTAAAACAGATTTACAACAACTCTGGGGACAGCAGAGCTCCAGAAAAACAGATCCCCTGTTCTCAGAGATTTACCAACTTATGCTGACAATAATGACAACCTGGTGGAAAAAGGATTCAGGGATGGCATACGATCAAGGCATTTGTTCATTCAACTACTGTTGTCCACCTCTCTACACAGTCTGAGCCAGTGTGAGAACAGAGCTTAAAATGGATACAGTTTAATTAACATTTGCAAGGTTAATCAAAACGTACTCCTAGGCCAGCATTCAAAATGACAGTAATTACAGGAGGAGTTTCTCAGCACCGTCTAGTTCATGCACGACACCTTTCCTCACACTAAAGGCATATCCTCACAGACAAGCTGCATTTCCTTCAAAAGTCTTGGCTTTTGAATTTCATCAAAGCAAAATACTTAGAAAGAGCTACCACCTGCTCGGTTTAAAACTGCAAATACCCTGCAAAAGCGCTACCAAAAGATCCCTGGTAACAGTACTCAGCCCAAGTAAAGACTGGCTAGCGCAGATGAGTTCATTAATGCTTTCAGCATTACTTCTTTAAAAAGAGAGACTACAATGAATACGCTGAGAAGCCTGAAACTCAGCCAAATCCTACGTCCTTCTCTCTACGTAAAGTCAGATCAGTAACCAGGCAGTCAGCAGACAGAGGTTTTCATACTGACAAAAGCCACTATCTTGCTCTTTTGACATTTTAACAAAATCAAATCTGGAGCAAAGTGTGTCCTAACACCGTGCCAATCCTGTGTATTAACTGTCACAAGTATTTCCACCACTATGAGCATCTGGTTTTCTGAGAGTTGAGGGAGAGGGCAAGGAGAATGGAGGGGAGATGGAGAAAAATAAAGAGTCTTGAATAGTTCTAGTCTCCTCTGTCATGACTGCCATAGCTATTCTGAATAAAAGGCTCTCAGTGAGACAAAAGGCACGAGCCAAAGAAAACCCAGTACGCTCCTTGCGTTCAGGCAACACCCCCATTCTATCAATCTAGGGAAAGGCCTGTCAGAGAGCTACCTCTCTGCTCCCATTGTTTTGCGCTTTCTAAGCCAATGCAAAGATCTATCCTCTTTGGCCAATTACTAGCTCCTCTGTGTCGCTTTGTCAAACCAGGGGCAGTAAGCCCCTCACGGACCCATATACTGTCCTAGGGGGCATTTACATTATCCAGCTTTGGACAGCGGGCTTAGTCTGCCTGTTTCCAACTGTAATCTACATACTCCCTGCGCTATAGTAGTCTGTGGCGAGAGCTAGGCTCCTACAGAGATCAGACCAGAGCCCTGCTGGTTTAAGTTAAGCTCCTTCACAGAATTGTCCTCCGAGTGTCCCCTCTCCCCCTATACTAGCTAAAGACATAGGAACGCAGTCTCATAAATGTTTCCGGAATTCCTTCACACTACCAAGGCAGCCAATTCGGTCTTTGCAGTTTGCGAATAAAGGCAGTGGGAGATTTTCAGTGAGGGCACGTGGCAACGTGAGGGCATGCAGTGCAGCATTTCTCTGGGGAGGCAGTGTGAAGACCAGAGTTATTTGTACGGATCTATCCTAAAACAGACTTAAAGAGACAGACTGATTTGCAGGAACACTGTTAAGAGAACCTCCATGTTCAGCCAAACAGGTTCACTGAATCATCTTCCCTCTGTAAACAAAATACCAACTCTGTGCAGCAGAGGCCTTTAGCAAAACGAGAGAGAGAGTCATGGACTAGAACTCAATTGTGCTATGTGCTTTTCCGGGCACAGATTGAGAAGGCTGCTTCTAACTCTAAAACAAGTAGGAAATATACTGTACTGGCAGCAGGGATATTAATAAGTCCTTTTGGACCTTAGAGTAACTCTATAAATTGTAGGCTTTTAGCCACAGTTAGGCCAAAGAGAGGTATCGAGATGGGGGGGAAGAAAAAAACAATCTGGTTATGGACAAAGGACTGTAGAAGAAGCAGCCTTTTTACCTCTATGGCTAGAACTGACCATATATCAAATGCAGACCAGGTAATCACGGTATACAAAAATTAGGCTAGAAAGTCCTTTCTTGGCCAAGGAATAAGATGACAAATGAAATATATTCACTTACCATACCGGCAACAATGGAGTTTTATATTAGTGATTAGATAATAAAGCTGCCCTGCAGCACTGCTCCTCTGGCGCTAAACTCCTGCTCATGCTAATGTCCTGCCTGCAAATGCAAGACTACTTTTACAATTTAAAATCTAGAGCTTGGTTGTGATTTATTTTAAATGGAATGGCCACCAATGGCATTTCTTCGCATTATAAAAGTTGAAATAATTTCAGTATTAAAATTATTTTCTATTAAGTTTACAAAAACCACGATACTCACCTATTTCTTGCATCCAGTAGCTTAGTTCTCTTTCGCATACTCCATGACTAGTATTTTGCACAAGCTATATTCAAATCAGGTCTTTGGAACAATTTCTCAAGCAAGTTCTTTTAAGTTCTCCCAGTTTCAAGCCAATGAGCCAATCAGATCAAGAAGAGAACTAACCTATTGTTTTTTACTCTCTCTTACCAGTCTGGGCCCCACAAGGGCCAAACCCTAAGATAAACTGCGACTATTAACTGCGGCTATCCTTTCCAAATAATAAAGACACTTATCCTTTCAGCTGTGATTTCTGAAGGTATTTTGGGTGTACAATATTTGACACATTACACAATTAACCTGTATACTTTGCTAATGTACAAATGAAATGTTGATACAGTTAATGCTAGTGCAAAAATTAATCATAGAAATACAGATAGTTTCCTTTGAGATCAGCAAAAGGGAACAATTCTACGTTACAACTCCGGAAAATAGGTAAGCATCCCACCAACAAGAGTCCATCCTCTCGTTCATACAATTCTGGACCTTTAGATTATTTCCAACTGCTTAACGGTATTAAAAGAATATAGGGCACTGGCCATGGTGGAATGCCAGAGGCAGATTCAGATCATGACCGCATAACTTTGCTCACATCTGGCCACAGTCCTGAAATGTGATGTTTCTTGCAGTCCCGCGAAAGAGCATGTATTTTTTTACTACCCGGAAAGTTTCTCAGACAGCAGTTGCAGTGTTAAACCATGAAGGCAGCATGCATTGCACTGCTGCTTTGTGAGAGAATAGCAAAAATGAACCAAGTAGCTCTGAGGGAGTTCAGAGGGACTGTATCTTCTGTGTCTTGATGCCTGAGCGTGCTACTCACAACAGTGGAAGACTTTTGTAGCAGAAAAAAAGGTGCTTTTTACTCTTCTATCTCATTGCTAGTAAGGAACAAAAGAAGAGGAATAAAACCCCTAACAATTCTCTCTTTAAATAGAAATTTGGCAAGAAATATGTATTACATGCATAACTGAATGCAATACATGAAACTGAAAGGTACTGAGTTAATTAAGGAAAAAAAAAAGTGTTACAGTTTTCGAGTGCTTAAAACCCAAAATCTTTTTCTGCAGACACCTCTACGCACGCGTTGTTATTTCAACAGCTGGGGATATTTGTATGTATTCTCATCAGGATACGTTATTCTGTCAATTTCAGAAAAAAAATCTAGTTTCACCATACTCATTCTTTTAATTTGAGTAACAAAATGTTCCATGGTCTCTTTACTGGAAGAGTGTAAGAGCTGAACACCAAATCACATCAGTCTATTCACGTATGTTTTTAAAATGAGTTTGATCAATTTGTACAAAATATCTGCATACTCTTCCTTTGACGTAATACTGATGAGCACTTTAATTTTCCTTTTAATTAGATCAGGTGACATTTATGCATAGCAGATTAAGATTAGGTACCACTAGCATAACTAAAATGATTTTTTTTAAAATACCTTTCAGATAAGCTGTTCCAGTTTCATGTGTACACATATCTTTGCGCGAGATCTCAACTACAGCGAGCGGTGACCTTAGGCATGACCATTTAAAATGCAGATTAGTAAGATTTTACTCTACAGCTTGAAGACCTAGATCCAAGTCTGCAGAAGAGTCCTGCCTACAACTTCCACAGGTTTCAAATCAGATTCAGAACTGAGCCATCTAAGAAGCACTAAAATTTGGACTCCCCTTTAGGCGATTATTAGAGGAAGGCCAAAATCTCCCAACTGTCTTGTGAACACCTGGCTTTACCAAGACTTGGGGCATACAACCCCATCAACCCACCGCAAATGAAACCGTCCTAATTATCAGAAGCTGGAACAACAGAACACAACCCCTCCACAATGACTTGTTATTATAAAATAACAAGAGGCTAAACCTCTTCCATATCTACCCTCAAGGCAGCCTCTTTTTTTCTCCCACTTTCAGTATACAGTTTGCTCATCCGTACACAGTTGGTGCAATACCATGGGCTCAAGAGCAAACTAGCTTTGCCTGCCTGCTAATCCGTCTGGAACCTTACTTACTCATCGAGACATACCTGCAGCTCCTGGCATTTCGCAAGTTTCTATGCCACAAGCTAATCTGCTCAGTACAGTTGGAAGGATATCCATCTGCCTTGAGAGCTAGCTCCCAAACACACTAGCTTTCATTCAGAAGCGTCTTGATTATCCCGAGCTTTTCCTCCGTTTGTTTTTGGTTCCCACACAGTGACATCAGAGAGAAAAAAAGCAGACAGTTCTCCCCCCTCACCCTTGAAGTTCTCTAACAGCACAGACCTGCCAGCACTGAGACGGTTTTGGCAGTGAACTACAAAAAAAACAACAGGTGAGTAATATGTGCAGTGTGCAGTGATATTACTGGTTCTAAACGTGCAGCCCCTAAAAGAAAAAAGTCCTTGATAAATCTCGAGTAAGTGATGCCAGACACCTACTTCTTTCTTTCAGCTGAGTGCAGCACTACCATTGTTAGCAAACTAAGAAACACAGCTTAAAGAAACCAAGGGAAGGAGAGGAGCTCAGTGGAGCATGGAATTTAGGGTTTTTTTTGAAAGAAAAAACTAAAAGAAAAACTTGAAGTAGAAAACTCTAGCGGAGCACAAGCAGCAACCCCTCATTCGTGCGTGCACCGCCCACTAAAGAAAACAGAAAACCCAGGGCAACCAGGTAGACTTGGCATTTGCGGGCTTCCATCCTGACAATGTGCTTTTCATGGAAACGCAAACTACCAGAGAGCCTGACACGTTATGTCACTCTTTAGCAGATCTATTTATCACTGCAAATCTTTACATAAACAGGATGTAAGGAGCAGTGCTCTCCTTCCAAGATGCTCACTGCAGAGCAGTCTGGCTCCGCTCTTAAGGGTATTTTTTCACATTTGCTCCAGGAGCTGAGACATCTTGGGGCGGGGTGAGAGGGTTCAGGATCCCAGCTTAGTGAGAGCAACCAGCAATCACACTAGTCCTCTACCCCTTCCAGAGCAACCAGCAATCACACTAGTCCTCTACCCATTCCTTCCTTTCCTCAACCACCTTTGTTCTTAAACAAAGCCCTCTTCTTCTCTCAACAGTACATTGCTGACTTCAGTCTGCAACCCCAAGCCAACTTGTTTTTGAAAGCTATGTATCTCACAGAGCCAAACCTATGTGGACAAAGCCTCGTAACACGAAGCACTTGTTTCCAATCTCTCACTGCCTTGCACGCTGTCAGGTAACACTCATCTGTGTAAATGAGGTATCACATACAGGCAACCAAGCATGAAAATACTTTAGCATGGTGACATAAGGCATGGCACAGAAAAGAACAGGGTCTGCCGTATATTACTGACTAAGCAGCTTGGCATAAGCCCTGTCAGAACCTCCTGCAAAAGTCAAAAGATCCAGTTTTTCTCCATTTAAAACCAAGTACATGTGAAGGAAGAAACAAATAATTAAGGAATGGCATTCTACAACTCTATGGAAACCCTTCAAGCAACTTGTTTCCCGTTTAACAGAAATGAGCCCGGCTACACAGTGACCGCTCCCCATAGCTGACAACTGCCAACAGCACCATCGGCATACCATCATACCAATCTCTTTAAAGGAAGGGGAGTCCCTTCGCGTGGCCTGGATACAGGTTTAGCCACGAAACAACGGCGCGGCGGCCCTGAGGCGGCAGCAGCACCGGCAGCAGGGTGCTCCGGGCAGTGCGCGCGGTGAAGGGGGGCGCGACGGGGG